AAAAAATCTTAATATTATTGAGTGTTAAACAAAGTGTTATTAGTACTTTTCAACTTTAACCTATTAAAAGTACATCTCTTATAACCATCAAATCAATGATTAGAAAATGACTCATAAGAAGACAAGTCATGTGAAGTTGTAAAATACTAAGAGAATATAATAGTAAAAAGGAACAAAATTGTATTTTTAATAAATAAAAATAAAGTGATTTCTGATTTTATTATGTTATAGTTAGAGTTTCACTTAACTCATTCTTATAAAATGAGTTTATATGGTGGTGATTTCTCCCACTTATAAGCACATGTTCATGTCATATATTATCTAATGTGAGGTTCTTAACACAACTCCTCATGCATAAGATTGAACATATGAAGCGTGAAAACAAATAGTGGCTGATTCGATAGAAAAAACCTGATAGCATGTGGTATAATACATCTTAAACCAGACTTTTGATACTATGTTAAAAATGTAGTTTGACCTAATTCATGTCTACAAAATTGACTTGTAAGATAAAGATTTATAAATTGAAGCGGGACAAGATTGAGGGTGAGTGGTGCTATCCTATTCTATTTTATGTTATTCCATCATATTTTAAATAATTAAAATAATGAAACATATATTCATTCTATTCCATTTCATCATTACAAACAAGAGTCTCTTTTGGCTCGTGCCAACCTCCATGTATAAAATTAGAAGACACAAAATAAATATGCATGACCTTTTGAAATATTTTAAAATGATTCACTAGCTCTAATGCTAGGAATACAAAAGTGTTAAATGTAAATAGTAAAAAAAATGTTGATTGTCAGAACATATTTTTTATGTTTGGTGACTTTTTTTCTTGATAAGGCATTGAGAACTATATATTCATAATAAAACCTTCAATAATCAATCACACGAATGCAAAAACCTAGTAAGATCCATACATGCATGTTTTTCTCATATTCACCAATACACCATGACATTTATTAGTCTAAGTGTTAATCATCCTTCATGGTCAAGAAGTTCACAAATATTTTTCTTCACATATTCTCTTATGTGTCTAATCATATAAAAAACGTCCTAACAAAGTCATGGTGATATTTGAAATCCGAAAGCTCCTTAGGATGAGTTGTGTGCTCTCCAAAAAAAAAATAGACACGTCTTCTATTAAACATCGGAAGCGCCATCAATAGGAAATAATGAAATTATGAGGCAATATCTTAGGATATCATAATATCTTAGGATATCATAATATTTTATTAGTGATATATGCTGATCTAGTCCATTAATAGGAATAGATAGAAGAAAAGCATGAGCATGTGCTTCTTGCATACTCTAAAAAAATATTTTTTGTCTTGTGGTCATGTCAAAATTTAATTTCATGTCCTGAAAACATTTACTAAAAAAGGCTCTCACCAAAATATGTTGGCCTTTAAGGGGAAAATGTCTTTGCAAGTAAGAGTGCTAAGGTCAAAACTTGAAATCCTATCATTTTAAACCCTCCAAACCTATGTCAAAATCAAAATACATATATCTTATCTTAATATCTCTCAATATATGATTTTGTAACATTTAATATTGAATCTTGAAATTTTTGAAAAAGCGTATGAGACAATCTTCACTATAGAAAACAAACATAATAGTCTCCTAATAGATAAAGAAGCCATATTTCATTAAAGGTCCCTGAAAAATAGACCTTCTCCAAACACGATGTCTTCGACCACCCGTCACAAATCTATCAAACCAAATAATTTTCTCTTCCATGTGAACCAGTTGACACGTTATTAGGCTAAAAAATATTTTGGTACCAAAGCAAGATTGAATTAGAAGTTCACTATGTGGATCCCCTAATTGTGGAAGTATATGTGTTAGCTCAACATCTCTCAAAGCTCTCTTCATAGATAATCCCTTGATAAAATCTATATCTCGACTAATAGCCTATTAGGGCAATTTCACCCTAACACCAGCCTCCCAAATGTATAAAGAGAACAACCCCCACCACCTCACAATGTTTACACGTATCACACAAAGGTCAAAAGATATCAATCTTACACATATTCAATTCAAGGACTAACCCTTGACCCGTCTCTAGATGATGTTAAGGGCTTTAGCTTCCTCATTTGAATCCTTTACGATGACCCCATCATCTAAATATCAAGCATGAAAAATAAGCTTACAATTGTCTCTAATCTTATGATAAAATGGTGTAACACAAGAGCAAAAGAGAGTACTGCGACGAGTCAAATTTTTGCACGCCATTGAATGACATAATATGTTAATCTTCAAGATACAATCTTAATGTCTAACCATAATAAAATTCAACCCACAAAGAAATAAATGTATATCTCTCTCTCATCTTGTGCAATAGTGCCAATTGAGTTTTCATGTTAAAAGAATTCGAGAAATCTAATATGAGCATAAGAAAATAATTATCTCCATGTCGTTTTCTCAACACCCAATTCACACTGTGCAAAATGGTTTTAACACCACCTGATTCCTGATCTCAAACTAAAAATGATAGAGACAATCTTTTCCGACTCATTAAATCATAAAATTTATATCTTTTTCCTTGTTTTTTATTCTTCTCTTATTGAAGAATCAAAATCATATAGTTTGTCTCCACATTAAGAATTTTAATAATAGTTTAAATAAATTGTGGAATTTTAATTCTTCAATTAAAAAAATAAGAAAGAGGAATGGAAAAACAAAAAATAAGATATACCTTTCTCATAAATGATATGTGTTTATATAAAGTCCTACAATATTTCAAACATATTTACTCATGTAGAAGGAATCTATATAAAAAAGACTCAATTAAAGTATTTAGGATTAGTTGTAGAAAATTGAATTGTGATAAATGATTTGAATATCTAGTTGACATAGGCGAGGAGAGTGTTTAAAACCACGTTGCATTATTGACATGACTTATGTAATTTATAAACATGACCAATAAGAACCCCCTTTTAGCTCATATGCACTAAACAATTGAGCCATTCTTGTCCAACAATTACCAAGTTCGTGTCTCCTTAGGTTTTTCACAAATACCTCTTTTGTGTTAGATCATGTATTCATGTTCACATCTACTAGGGAATGCTTGGATATAACTAGCTCACAAGTCACAAGCACTCGATCTAGGATACAAGATAAGTAAATTTCATGTCTTTTCTTTAAAGCCACGTGTATGTGTTTATAACAAATACGTGTTTGATAAACACTTAAGAGTTCGATGACAACATCATACATGTAATAGATTGTTCGCAAACTTCTTTTATAAATTGACTATATTTTTTTCGGAGAGGAATAAATTTTGCTGGACCAATTTGTGTTATCAATAGATCCAACCAAGTGTCCAAATATGAGTGAATAAAAAATAACATTAATTCAAACTAGGGGAAATGTTTCTATTTAGTGTTTGATACCATTTCAAATAAATATTTTTAGTGATTTTTTTAATAAAAAGTAAACAAATATATGTATTATAATGTGAATTAGGAATTGTTGACTTGTTACTCTAAAGATGTTAGTAACTTTGGAGTGAGCAATGTTACTCAATATACGTTAGAGGCTTAAAATCAAAGTTTATACGAGTATTTTTAGAATTTATAATGCACTATAACATCTTTAAATATTTATAGAAGTTAAAATTAAGGTAGAAAAGTTATACAAATAGGTAATATTATGTATACCTTTCCATTTATGCCAGGAATTCAAGTTCTTTCCCTTTCCACTAGGATCTTTTAACACCTCGGTTATCTTTAGGATTTTTTAACACTTCGGTTATAGAAAGAATTTGAATTAAACGAGACTATATTATCACTAATACATATCACATTAAATCCATGCACATTGATCTTCATTTCAATGAAGATGAGATTGTGATTCGACCGTTGAAGAATCATCATGACCCTATTGTCATACCTTAAATTTGTCCTAGCCTTTCATTTTTATCTGACTTATGTTTCTCATTTCATCTATATCACTCTACTAGGTCATTAATATATCATGCATTCATTCATTGAATAAGGCACCTGAGAGTTCATTGATTCATTGTATATGTGATGGTTTAAGACTGCTACATTAAATAAGCTCGATTCAACTGACCTCTTCTTCGGGCATGGATTAAGAAGATCAATAGGATTAGGTTTTTGGTTTTGGTTGACATGGATCTCTTCTCAAAAGCCATTCTTCATCAAGATTTAGGTTTATAATCCCTTGTGCTTGAATTTGGCAATATTGCAAGTGAGGATCCTATAAATCATGGTTTGGCATCCATGACTATCTTGAGCATCATTTCCTCAATATTTCAAGTATGAGTCTCATCCAAGGTTTTATCCTAATTTCTTGGTTTACACAAGTCATGATCATATGGTTTGCTTCTCAAGGACTCAAGGGTATGAATGTGCACATTTTCTTCGTGGCTTATGAATCAAGGTATTCCTATGTAGTGTTTATCAATTGAGATGAGGTTTTGGTCGAGAGTTATATTGAGACCTTATAGAAGTCATATTTCATCAATCAAAAGAAGTTACTTGTTGCTTTGCCTACAAGACATTGACCATGGCATTAGTGCAAGAAAGGAAGAGTATGGACTCATCTATTCCTAAATCAAACAATTAGGGTTCGATACATGATTGCCATTGAACAATGGCATGAGATACAAAACATCATGGTTTTCAAAGATCAAGCATGGGATGTGAATAGTTTGGATTCAATTCATGGAGGATCCCAGTTGATTTCAAGTTATGATTCTAGCTTGGATTCAAATTCTCTTTGACTTTGGTCAAAGTCAACTTAGTTGACTTTTTTTACCAAGTTACATCTAGTTCATGGCTTTGAATTTAAATATTGGCAATGTTAAACAAAGATTAGGTGGCCATGGCTTGGTGAAACATGGAATCATTCATGCTATATTCAAATTCCATCAATGTTCATCATGATTCATTCAAGTTCCATACACCATTCTCAAGACGAGTTCAAGTATCAAACATTATAAGTCTCATCCAAAGTAATTCAAATCTATGCAAAGTCCCATCCAACTATACCCATTAAAATTCATTCAAAGTTCCATCCATGGATTTTATTCAAGATTCAAGTTCTTTGCACACTCTCAAAAGTCAACATATGGTAAATATACATTGTTTTATTCCAAGGTTCATGAACCATTACAAACATCATCCAAACATATATTCAAGAGTCAATACCATTACATCATAACCATAAGGAAAAATATGCAAAATCTTCAGTAAGCCTAAGTGTTCTACATCTTCATTCCTTCACCCTACTTCATCAACTCTCCATGTAAAAACCTAGCTAAATCCGTCCATACCCTTACTTACCATCACCAAGAAACATTTATGACAGCTTCATTCATCATGATCAAAACCTACACAAAGCCAAAATATATCCATCATAATACAAAAAAGCTAGTTAACACTCAAATAGAAAAGACAATTAGCAAAGAGGCAATTCACCTAGTCATGACCTCATGAAGACCCGTAGTTGTGATAGAAAATCAAGCTAAAATGGAGCAAGAGAGTTTATTCTGAGCCATCCCTTCATACCATCACTAAATCAATTCTATATAAACTAATTGCCAGCTAACCATTTCACTTGAATCCAAAATGCAGAAATAACAGAGGGAAGAAAATGAAAAACATAACAAAAAGGAAAATACATAGAAACTGATAAAGTAGATAAAAAACTTAGAAACAGAAACTCAAGCCAAGCTAACTCGATTTCAAACTCATTTTAACTAACCCCACTCAGTGAATCAACTAACTTAGTTTCATAACAAAATCGAAACTTCACAATAACCCATTGGATCCAAACCTTGCTCCAAACCTATCTCATCCCCAAACCTAAATGCTATATAATACCTTTATCACTCAGATTCTCTCTACACACGCTCATTATCCATCCTCACCCTTCATTTCACTCTGAATCTCTCAACTCCACCTCTCAGAAACTCTCTACAAAATCACTCCATTACAATCTTCATCTTCAACCTGCACTCTCCTCTCAACTCCTCTCAGCTCGTCTTCAACCTCCACCCTCTGAGCATCAACCATCATCACCTAACATTTTCTCTTGCACATGCATACAACAACCACTCACATCACACGAAATTTTACGCAGAATAAAGAGTAGAAGAAGAAAAAAGAAGAGAAGAACATTGGATGCTTGTTATTACCTAATTGCCTTGAAGATATTCGGGTTTCTGTACTCTTGCAATCGATCTCGAAGAATCACCAGAATTGATCCGGTAGGTAAGCCTTGATACTCGCTTCTTCTTCATCCATCCTTCATCTCTTTCATACCTCTATGTAGCTTAAAGTGAGTATAATCGTAACCCTAGGGAATCATAACCTGAACATGCTCCATCTTTGTTTAATTTTAGTAAACTAGGGTTTTCAGATGTAGACGAGAAAAGGTGAAATTGATGGAAAAGAGGTAGAGATTTAGGAAGGTGAGGCTGAGATGAAGCTTTTGGTGGTGGTAACTTTAGGTTAGAAAGTCCCTTTTATCCCTTCATTCATTTGCATCTTTTTCATTTAAAAGACAAAAACTCAATTTTCTTTATAAATATTCAAAATACTTAATAACTATGAGGCGAATCGTGTGACATTGAGCCTTAAGCAATGGAAAAGAATGAGGCGGTGTATTCTTAACCTTGTTCTTCTTCTATTAATAGACTTCAGTATGATTAGATTCATAAACAATTTCAAAACTAAAGGTGGAGAAGTAGCTAAATGCCCCTGTATTGGGAGCCATTTACTACCACCCCCAATAAAACACTTCAATAATTGCCTTTGGGCTTTTCTCTTTAAAATCTTTTCAGAAAGAGCATGTTATTTTCGTTCAACCACGATACAGGTAACATGTGACTCTCCACACAACGAGCAACAACACATAATGCTAGAATGTGAATGTTAACATTTTCCATTAAAAAACAACTAACAAACAACCATTTTCTAGCCAAACTAGGAAGCTCTGACTTCTCTATTGCACTATAGGGATGCGTAGGCACAAGATTCAGGAAATTTTGGCGAGCACACTAATTAAAAACTTATTTTTTCTCACTAATTTAAAACCTTTCTTTTTTTCCTTAATTAAATCATTCATGCATTCTTTAGCAAGTAAACCTTTAGATAACACACCCTTAGAAACAAACAAATAAAGTGGATCCCATTGAGTACAACGGATGTGAGGGGTGCTAATATCTTCCCCTTGCATAACCGACTTCCGAACTCGAATTTGGTTGCAATACCATTTCCTTCCTTTTGGTATTTTCTCGATGTTTCCCATTCCCTTTGGGATAAATAAGTTCGATGGTGACACTGTGTTTTTTCACTGTGTGATAATTGACGGCTCTGTTGGGGACACCTAAGCAAGTCAATCTTAGCTTTGTTTATTTGTTTCTTTAGGTGTTTACTTGTATGCTTTACTTGCTTTATTTATCTTATTTATCGCATTTATTGCTTTCATACATTATGGATATCTGTTGTATTATTCTTCTTGTAGGGATGGGTGTTACTATTGAGAGATAAGCCCACTACCCAGGCTCGAGTATACACACAAGATAAAGTGGATAGTCATATCGCCTACTGGGTGAATTCCCTACTAGCACGTCATAAAAGCCACACCCATACTAGGTCCACTTGGGGATATTATCGTCATGTGTGACTTCGTTACGATGATGTATTTCCATGTTGGATCCACGACTCTGGGAGACCTTTTAGGAACCTCTTCCAAGACTAAAACTCACATGTGAGAGGGATATGGGTTTTGTTTTGCAGGAAACCTATAATTTCATCCTACGATGTGTTTGTATATTCAGAAGAAGCGTCGAACCTTTGAACCTGGGATGTTCAACCCACTTCAAGAATCGTGCAGTTGTTATCCAGAATATGTTGAACTTTTGAACCTATGGTGTTACATATCATTACATCAATCATCATAGAAAGTTCATTTGACTTATTATCCATGAATCATAATGCACCTCATACATCAAAATCAAAAAACAAACTCATTACCACCTGGCTGTTATTTAGAATCACAAGACCGTAACACTGATTTACCGATAACGTTATTATCATGGCACAACTTCGTGTAGAGGTGACATAACAGAGGACTAATATGGGTCAAGTCATGGAGAACATTTGGGCTATCACTCATGGACAAGAAGAGTTGAGATAGACTATTCAGAGGCCAGCAACTACTAATGTTGATCCTATTAATCCACCATGTGTTAATCTTACCCCAGGGGAGGTTCTCTTGAACCAAAATTGTCGGAACACTATTGAGATTCCTGCTAATGGAACTCCACGCCTTGCGGATAATTTTGATCCATCATTTGACACCTTTAGGTTTCCGATTGATGAGACCGAGAAAAAGTTTCACTTCCTGGAGGAGAGTATGAAGGCTATAGAGGGTCGTAGCTACTTTAGTTTAAACGTTGCTGATATGTTCCTAGTTCCTGGAATCAAGGTCCCTGCTAAATTCAAAGTCCCTACATTTGAAAAATACAAGGGTACCACTTTCTCAATGGTTCACATTAAGTCATATTGCAACAAAGTGGCTCCCTATGCAGAAAATGAAAAGTTGTTATGCAATTCTTTCAAGATAGCCTCAGAGGAGCATCTTTTGAATGATATACACACCTCAAAATGACACACATCTGAACCTAGAGAGAACTAGCAGAGGAATTTATCAAGCATTACAAGTATAACAGTGACATGGATCTTACTAGAATCCAACTTTGAAGCTTGACTCAAAAGGCTGAATAGTCTTTTAAAGAGTATGCACAAAGATGGAGAGAACTAGCTGCCATAGTTCATCCTCCCCTTTTGAAATGAGAACTTATGGACATGTTCATGGGTACTCTGCAAGGTCCCTATTTGAATATGATGGTTGGAAGCACTTCCTCTGAATTTTAGGATTTGGTTGTCATCAGAGAGAGAATTGAGAATGCTCTCAAGATTGGTAAGATCCAGGGTGTCGCCACTACCTTCGAATTCACAAAGTAGAAGGAAAGAGAAACGAATGCAGTTTCTGAGGACGAAGAGGAAGACGCCCCTGCTTATCTTCAAATTCATGTCCTTTTCTATCAAGTGGCCGTAATTAATCCTAGCCAGTAAGCTCCACAAACATATGCTACGAATATTAGTCAACAACCCTGGATAGCTCAACAACAGTCAATTCAATATTCTCTACAACAACAATATGCTCTCCAATAGCAGTATGTGCTGTAACAACAAAACTATAAGCATAACTACCATCAACAGGGACAACAAAGATCAAGAAGGCCACCGAGAAAGTTTAACCTGGTCCAGATGATCTACAATGAGTTTCTCCCTCAGTTACTCAAGGGCTCATTGGTCCAACTAAGGAAATCTAGCCCTCATACAACCCATCTTCCTCTAGGATATGATGCAAATGCTAGATGTGAGTACCATTTTGGGGCACCTGGGCACTCAATTGAGAATTGTAACATTTTAAAGCACAAGGTCCAGGACCTCATCAATTTAAAAGCAATCTCGTCCACGTCAATCGGTCTGAATGTACTGAACAATCCCTTGCCCAAGTGAGTACCAAGACTGTAAATAGCACCCCTCGAAGCAATAAGTAAATATAAATAAAGTCTCCTCAATGCTAACAACCTTTATATCATTCTATCATTTTCATTTATAATCTTTCTTGTTTGTTAATGTAATGTTTGCATGTAAAACTTGTTTGATTTTGAATGATAATAATAATGAAATGAATATGTTGCTTTGCAGTAATCCATTCATATTTACTCATAAATGTTTTTCTGCCTTACGATACCAAATTCTTGTTGAAACAAAGATTGGAGGGAGGTTGATGAATTTGAAAAACGCAAAATTTCTGGTTGTATGCTTTTGAATAAAACTTTGCTGATGATGTAAGGTATTATTTCAAATCCCTAAACACCAGAGATATAAGGGAGATAAACCATCGTCAACCCCTTTGATCCTTGAAGTAGTAGTTTCTTTTCTATACGAAAAAACCCTTAATCTTAATCAGGGGCAGGATAGTCTACAGTTAATTTGACCGAGCATTCAAATTTAAAAACATCTGAGGATCAACCACGCCTTATCCCTCACACAACAGAAGGTAAAAAAACCGAAACCACAATGGTTATTCCTCATCCAACCAAGAAATGAGGCAGTCACAACCCTTTGAACGAGTTAAAACAAACTAATGTCACACGAGTTGTTCAAAAAAA